TATACAAGGAAACTAATAAAATGTGTGTGTATAGATAATTGAGCTTAGAGTATATAACACACATAATATAAATCCTAAACTAAATTACCCAAGTTAGATCTTGATCTTCAATAAGCTCTTCTAGGTAATCTTGCGGATGAAGCTTTAACTTGGATCTTGAACTTTGAATAGCAAGGCTTCACCGACATTCCGCCAACCTCCTTTGGATATCATCGTTGAAGCTCTATTCCATCCATCCTCCAACAACGTTGTTTGTCTACAAAACATAGGAATACACAAACACTAGACAAACAACATTAGTAGTAAATTGTTTGTAAATCATTATCAAAACAAGAAGGCCAACATGGAGCTCGTCGGCGACTGCGGGCTGAGCTCGAGCTCGAGCTCGAGCTCGAGAGAGAGAAAGAAAGAGAGAGAGAGAAAGAGAGAGAGTGAGTACGAAAGAGAGAGAGAGATGGGCTTTAAATAGGGGAAAATATAATTAAAAATTTTAAAAAATAAAATAAAATATTGAGGGATGATGCGCGTGGAACCGTTTTTTTGGAAAAGAAGAGGAGGAAGAGAGCGAGGTTGTTGGGGTAGCTGATGGGGGTTTGATGCGGGAAGCAAAAGCTGGGGTTATTTTCAAATGGGTTCAGGTATTTAAACGAAAATAATTAAAATAAATAATTTCGGGTACTTAAAAATTAAACTAATTATATAATAATTATCTACAAATAAAAACGTACATGTTGAGCTAATACAACAGTTGATACGAAACTATCAAAATATACCTATATTGTACAATTAAACGGAAATAATTAATAATAAAAATATATTTAGTTACATTTAAAATCAAATAATTATGTGACAATTATCTACATGATAAAACGTACCAATTATACTAATACGACCAATAATACGCAATAGTAGAAATACTACAAGAAATTATACAAATAATACATAATTAATAATACAACGTATTATACAAAAATATACGTAATAATAATACAAATAATACATAATTAATAATACAACGTATTATACAAAAATATACGTAATAATAATAATAATACCACGTATTATTCAAAACAAAAATATACGTAATAATAATAATAATACCACGTATTATTCAAAATGATACGTAATAGTATTGGTAACATAACGGATAAATCCCAAAAAAATTTATTGCACTAAATTAATTTATAAATATAAAAACCATTTAAATAAATATAAAACTTAGACTTTAAATTATAGAAAATTCTAGAAAATCGAGAAAAATACAAATACTATTTTAAAAATCATAATTAAATATTTTAAAATACCAAAAATTTATTTTAACTAATATCAAAATTTTACGGTCATTACACAATTAGAGGAGAACAACTAACGAGTGCAATTCACAAAAGAACGACCAAAACCGATCACAAACACAGAGAATTTACGTGGTTCGGCAACTTGCCTACGTCCACGGGGAGAGGATGGGGGAGATTTCACTATATGGAGGAGAAAACCACGGGTTACAACTCATAAAAACTCTAAAAATAACCCTAATCAAAGATCTCTCCCTCCCTCACAATAATCTCCCTCTCAAAGTGCTCAAAACAATCTCTTTTCTCTTATTAAACGTCTCTCACAAAACCGTAAAAAATGTGTTTCTATTTATATCAAAACACAAACCAAAACACACTGGGAAACCAACTTGGCCCAATTACTCGATTTCGGTCGACTGTTGGAAGTCCATCAGTCGACTAGTTGATGCTCATCGGTCGACCGGTTCCACTCCATCGGTTGACTGATCGCGTGCATGATTCCTGCACACAAAACCTGCTTCTAGTCAGTCGACTAGTTGACTCTGGTCGGTCGACCGACTAGAATGAAATCATGTAGCTGCTTTTTGCTTCGATTTACTATCTTTTTCAACAATTCTTCACCTTGGTAAAGTGTTCCTAAAACTGAGCCGACATCAACATGAGCACCAATACGTCGTCTCACCAAATCCGACTGCACCAATGTGGTTGCATATGTACCCCCTCTTCCAAGGGATCAAGCTACCCATAGTTCATCCAAATGGCCTTGAAAGGCCTCAACAAGCACAAATCCACAACAAGCTTCTACAATGATCAAACTTGTTGCTCGGGACCATCTTCGTGAGCATATCCACTGGATTATCTTTTGCGTGGATCTTTACAAGCTCCACATCCCCATCTTCAAGAACATCCCGAACAAAATGATAACGAATGTCAATGTGTTTCGTCATCGCATGGAAAACTTGATTCTTCACCAAATAGATAGCACTCATGCTATCACAATGAATGATGACAGATCGCTGCAAAACATCAAGATCTTCCAAAAGTCCTCAAAGCCAAATTGTCTCCTTAACAGTCTCCGTAATCGCCATATACTCAACCTCCATTGTTGACAAAGACATTGTAGATTGCAAGGTGCATCTCCAACACACCGGCGTACGGGTCAAAGTGAACACATATCTCATCGTCGACTGACGCTTATGCAAATCTCCAGCATAGTCCTAATCTATATATCCAATATATAGCTACCTACCACTAGTGTCCCACTCAAACACCAAATCAATGTTGAGAGTACCTCAAATGTACCTCAAAATCCACCTCACGGCATCCCAACATTTTGACCGTTGTATAATTGAGTCCAAATTCTATCAGAACTATCTGCATGTTCTTTTTTATTCATGAGCTAGGTAGCAGTTTTAGTTTGGGGATTTCATTATCCATTTAGTGGCTAAGAACTTCCCACTCGCACGCGGCTAGTTTCGATAGGTTTTGTATTAGTTATAATTCATTTCAAAACTACCATATGATATCTTCTATAATATGTGGTTACTTCCCTTCTTCACATTGAAACTAACTATCGTCTACTAAATGCTAAACAGTTACACATAGAAAAATATATGACTATTAATTAGACAATTACATTTAGGCTGTTACAATTCAATTCAAATATAACTTACCATAACTTCAATGATAACAATCATTAGAAATTAGACCGTTATACTTCTCTAATCAATGTTGATAGTGTCCGTTGTCGTGAATTGTTTCACGACGTACTGAACACAATAAGTGGGACATTTGGTTGCTTTGGTGTCGGCTCAGTTTTTGGGGAAACTTCGCCGATGTGGAGAATTATGAGAAGATAGCGTGTGGGGGCCACACCCATCCCATCACACGTTTCCAATTGAGAAGCTGATCACAAGGGGTGTTTTCTTGTGTTCGTGTGGGGGCCACAAGTGTGAACTCGTGGGAAGCAAAACGCGTGAAAGACTATGTGTTTGTGGGGGCCACGAATTTGTGGCGAATTCGTTCTTGGGGAGAAGTTTTTGTTCAGTGATTTTTTTTCCAAAAGCCCACCTGATAAGCTATTACATATAGCTTGCTAGGGTTGCGTGCGTGATTGGCTTGGTGCAAGTACGAAAAGTGGAGAAAAGCGGCTGTGTGCAGAGTGCAAGAGCAGAGAAAATCAGCTGTGTTGAGAGAGAAAAAAGGAGCCGAATTTGAGAGGGTGTTTTGGCGGCATCCTTTTGAGGGAGATATTTATGTGAGGGATTTGAGAGCTTACTTAAGGGTTTAAGTTGTGTGATTATAAATCCTAGTTGTATTCTCTCCCTCTAATAGTAGATCTACTCCCTCCTTGTCCCGTTGACGTAGGCAAATTGCTGAACCACATAAAATTAGTTTGTTTTGCTGTTTGTGTGATTTGTAATAGCTTATTTAGGTTCCCTCGATAGGTCAGTCCTAGAGCCGATGAGAGGAAGAGCTGATATCCCACTTTGTTGGGATATTTTATTTTTGGTTCTTGTTTCCTTGGTAAAATGGGAATTCCTATTGTTGCGATCTAACTCTCTTGTTGTGCTACCGAGGTGCTGCCGAAATTTTCGCTGCGCACAACAATATATGCAAAGATAACATTTCTTTCATTCAAATTAAATCATCTTAACAAAAGCAGCAATAAACCAAATGAATCTCACACGTGTGGCCGTTTCAAAGATGGCCGGAGCACTCGCTCCACCACGCTCACGGTCCTTCGAACCGCCCACACTCAAGCACAATCAAGCTCCTAATTACTCTCATCAAAATACTCAATAACTCCAGCTTCAGCTCAATCCTCCGCCTCAGATCCTTCACACTCAACCTCTTAGTCCTACACTCTCGCTGAGTCCCAAGCCTCCTCGTCCCCTCCCACGGCCTTTGGCCCTCAAACTGGGCTTGGACCACAAGGCCCAAGCATAGAAAGCAAAGAGAGAAGAACATAGTAGTAGAGATCGCCATAGTGTTAATGGTGAGTGTGAGTGAGAGTGAGGGGGAGTTTGGTGGGTATGGAACACGATAACCTTCGCAGGACCACCAGATATATATAAAAGTCATAACTATTTCATATTGAAGTTTTTTATTCTTAATTTCTCTAGAAATGAGGATCCTTCACAAATTGGAGGAGACCCACAACTAACTAGATACATCATAAAAAACCATAGACATGAGCTCTGGAGGAACTTCTTCTACCCAAACTCCAGTTATTTCAGACGGTCGACCAACGACCATATATCGCCAAATAATGAGCAAATTTACTTGCATTCTTTTGCACAAACTTCACGCATAGGGAACCGCAAGCGTGTAGCTTGTGAGCCTCTCTAAGGGCATCTCCTACATATGGCGAGCAAACCTCCAAAGAGTCGAGGACTCCGCAACATCAAGGTGAAACCCACTTTTTTCCATAGCGAACCGAACATCCGAAATAATGGCAAACACCTTTATAAGCTCTGGAGATACTTCTCCCACTTTAAAGACAAACGGATCAAACCTTACTAAAAAACCCGCCTAATTCTGGTTCGTAGTAGCTCCGCTATCCAATCTTAAACGGGCAGGGGAACCCGAACCCGAACCCGAACCCGAACCCATAATCATACCTAAGCGCCAATAAGGGAAGAGGCGGTAAACATAAGCCTGGCGGATCGAACAGAATGCTAACCTTCCCCACTCCTCTTCTCCCGCAACGTCAAAGCGAGCAAGGGGACTGCGACCGCAGAGAAAGCAAACAGAGAGAGAGAGAGAGAGAGAGAGAGAGAAGCTAGGACACGTATCTTTATTTTGTGTTTTCTCACAGGTGGACGGCGATCTATTAATCAATGAAAAAGTCAGGGGGTTGGCGGTTAATTTAACAAAGGTCCCCCCCTTATAATGATCCTATTCAAAGCATCCCCCAACCGCCTTTCGTCGCTCTTCACTCACCTCTCCTCTTATAATTACTCTTTGAATGGACCTCCCATGCTTCTTCTATTCCAGGCCAAATCTCATCTAGGGTTACGGTTTCCTCCTCTTCGATCCCGTCTCCATTCAGGTTCGTGCTTCCCTCAGCGATGAAAAAGTTGCGATTTTTCTTGATAATTGAGGGTTTGATTGATGTTTCTGCTCTCTGTTAGCTTAAATTATTGGTGATCTTGAATATTCCCCCCTTTTTTATTGAGGGAGCACGTAATTTTGGGATATTTGGGTGTCGAATTATTTATTTTCATGAACATCTCAATTTGTGTACATCAGATAATTTGGGTTGTTAGCATTTGATGATCTTTCTGATTTTATCTGTATTTTACTCTAGTTACTGAAATTGCTGATAGTTAATGTGAAATCATGCACCAATTTGCTTTCCGTCGACTACAATAAAAACTTTTTTATGGATGAATGGCCTCCTTGAATGTTGACGGAGATATTTTCAAACACACATATGCTACTTGCTAGAGAAAGAACATACAGCCACTGACGTTGGTGTTTCTCATTTTTTTTAGTTGCAGCTGCGGGATCATTACCTTGTGCACTCATGGATGTCGCCAAAGCAGCTCTCAACAACGCCTCCACAAAACATGAAAGTGTGGCCATAAGAGCTGAAAATAAAAGCTACAGCTATGCCCAACTCATTTCATCCGCTTGCAAAATTTCGAATTTATTGTGCAGTGGAGATTTTAAAAGTGTAAGCCGAATAGCAGGAACAATAGTCAAGTATCAGTATCATCTGCATCACTGCATGTACTGTAGTACGTATTCATTCACATTGGTGTTTTGAAGTTACCGATGTTTTTTTCACGTGAGCATAGTTATCTGATTTTATCTATTCAAGTTGCAATTTGAATGATAGTATCCAAATCCTTTAGTTGATATGCCTATGTTGTATAGCCATTAATCATGTCAACTTGTCCATATGAAATTCAGATGCTAATGGTGCTAGTATATTTATGCTTGCATCTGTGGTAAGCACTATATCTATTGTTAATGCATCCAAATGCTTTTATCACATGCTAGGTATATCCATATTGACTTAGTTTTATTGAGGCTTAAGCCAGTTATTGGTGCCTAACCTTGTCTGCCTGCTTGCCATGCGTAAATCATGGTTAATGACTATGGTTATTAGGTCTCGAGACAGTATCTCTAAACTCCTATTATCATCTTCATTCGTGAAACTTGCTATTATACTGTTTCGTATCCATCAATTGCTTAGACAGTTAGATACACTGTCTGTAATAATCATGTTATCTCCCTCGGTCTCCTCATTTGCCTTGATTCTGGTACATGATATTTTCATCTTGTTTCCCAATCTTAGTATACAGTAAAGCTGATGGTAGTTATTAGAGTGGTAAAATACATTACATATCACTTCCGTAAGTATTTATATCCAATTAATCCCCATGGTTCACCCAGTTTTTAACAGGTAAATAGTCACCGGGGTCCACCCGGTTTTTAACAGCTTACAGTTTTCCATGCAACATTTTGCCTTTTCAAGATTATCCACTAAACCTTTTCTTTTTCTTTGCAAGCAGATTAAGGAGGGGTTTAATGATCGAGCTTCTTCTTTTGTTGAAGGCAGCAATACAGCAGGAAATCTTCATGGAGCACGTGTGGGAATTGTTGCTAAACCTTCTGCTGAGTTTGTTGCTGCAGTTCTAGGAACTTGGCTTACTGGTGGAGTTGCAGTTCCTCTTGCACTCAGCTACCCAGAAGCAGAGCTACTCTATGTCATGAAGGACTCAGTTAGTACACGACCTCCCTACTTATTTGAATATCATTTAATGTATATAATAGGAGGTTTTTGATTTAATGTATAACTTTTCCTGCTCTTTCCCAGTTCCTGAAACTAGATATCTAGTATTAGGAAAAAGATCATATTGTGGCATATGCCATTGTCCCACAGAGGTAAAGCCTCTTTGCATTAGGTTGTTGTAGAATTACCAACCACTTATTTGGATGCTGTGTCTTGCATCAAAATTATTTGCTTTTCTTGTTGATTGTATCTTTTCTTTGTTTATATATTTTCCTTCAATAACATGATGTATAGTTTTCTGTCTGTAGGATGTTTCGATTCTTCTAAGCAGTCAAGAACATCAAGAACTTATGGAGAACGTTGCTATTAAATCTTCAGCTTTATTTTCTGTTATCCCTGCTGTTACAAATTTTGACCAACGTTCAGAAGGAATAGCTGATTTGGTTACTAGATTAACGGTGGAGGTTGATAACATGGAAATGGTTGAAGGTAATATGTTCATGTTTGAGTTCTATTTTTGAATAATTGTTTCATGCAACTCTTGAAGGCACATCAGTGCTGTCCAAAAATTTTCTCAGTTTCTTAATAAATAAAATTTTCTTTAGTCCATCAGATAATTTAGTTGAAACTCATGGTTACTTTTCTGAAACCTGTGTATGATATACTAATAAAATTAGTTTTAGTTTATTTTTTGAAATGGATTTCCCCATTTTCAATAGTAAAATCTCTAATGTGGGTATATGTTTGTCATTATTCTACCTACAAGAAAAAGGTTTTCATAGCTTTTTTTAAAATTGCAGGAGAAGAACCTGCTTTAATTTTGTATACGAGTGGTACAACAGGCAAACCTAAAGGTGTTGTCCACACACACAAAGGAATACTTGCTCAGGTAATTGCTTTGACCTGAAGAACTTTACTTTAGTTTCCTTTTGTGTTTTCTGTAGGCAAGAGAGCACAATTGTCAGTAAAAATGTTACACTAGCTGATAGTTGATAAATTCTACTAGAGACCATCAATGCTTCTTCAATTTCTTTCCCTTTCTGGTCACCAGTTGATGTTTCGGCAAACCATGTTTTAATTTTTCCATGAATTTGTGTAGGATTATTATGATTATTGTTTTTGCTGTGTTGCAGGTTCAGATTCTGTCGGACGCATGGGAGTATACATGTGCCGATCAATTTCTACATTGCCTACCATTACATCATATCCACCAAGAAATCTATTATCGATGCGTAACTTATTCTTGCTCTTTACTCAATATAACCTTTTTGTTTCTTTTTTGTAATGGTGTCCTTAACTCAATAGATACATGTTCATGGACTTTTCAATGGTCTACTTGCACCGCTTTATGCTGGCTCTGTGGTAATGCTCGTTGACATATGGACATTTTCTCTATACAAATCATAATCTGGGTTAATTTATATGCTAGGACATTTCAGCATGTAGTTCCAAGAAATCCATTGGGACATTGTCAAACTTTGTTACTGACTTTGATAGATTCAAAGACTGGTCCAAATTGCCGAGGCAATGATATATGGCTATGTTAATGTATGATTTTTGTAGTAGAATAATGGAGAAGTCAGCTACCTTATTTTTTCTAATATTCCCATGGTTCATGCTAGCTATTCCCTTAATAACTCCTTAGCAGCTTCTGATAATGGTTTACTTTCAAGGTTGAATTCATGCCAAAATTTAGTGTACGAGGAGTGTGGCAGAAATGGCGAGAATCATATCCAAAAGATGGAAGCAAAGCTGATGATGCCATAACTGTATTTACAGGAGTAAGATGCTTTAAGAACTTATAAATTGCTAATTTTTTTTGTCATAGTTTTTGAATATAGATATCACTTCCCTTATACTTAGTTCAAGGAAACTATCGTCAGAGCTATAATGAAATGAACAAAAGAACTGCAGCTATCTCATAACATAGTTACTCTGAAAAATCATCTTTCTGGGAGAGGAGATAAGTTGGTTTTGGGTCTCACATCTGCTCAATGACTGGATTGGGCATTGGTTCTAGATCATGTGGAGTTCTATGGGGCTTCTGGGTACTTATTTCATCCTCGATCTGGGTGTTCGCTGTGAAAGTTTGAGTTTCTAGGGGTACATAGGAGTGCTGTATAATATCTTATAGAGCATCCAAGGTAGGTGGAAGTGAAGTGCCTTTTATTCCCTTTTTTCTGGTGATGTCAGTGAAGGTTCAAGTTTTCATACTTTTAGTCAGTAGTTGTTTTTGTGTTGATGACCTTCGTTTAATATACTTTGGACTTGACATACTTCATATGTCAGTACCAAGTTGAGATATCGACTTCTTATGTCAGATATGGAGTATTTATGTTTTGCTGTTTGGTCAGAGGCTCTGAATCAGATAAATTTATACTTTAGTACAAAAAGTTTGTCCTATAGCAGCAATATGGAAAGGGGTAAAAGTGCAAAAGGCTAATAGTTTCCAGTGGGGAGCAGAAATATAATTTAGCTCACCTTTCAGAAGATAAACTCCTAATACTGCATTATATTGCACCGAAAATGTTTTTCACCTTTACCTCATATTCTTTGCTCTGCTGAAACATATCAAAATATATGCACATGCTCGAAAACCAACATGATCATGCAGAGATGTTTGATTATAGATTTCGGAAGTTTCAGGTTCCTCCTTGATTATAAATATAGTGAATATCTTGTCATGCCCTCTTTCTCCCTTGATACATAATTTTTGTTCATTGAGCTTTTTTGGTGGAGTTATCAACTTGAGGAAATATGAAGTAGTGTAACAAACATGTTTGTGGTGCTCAATTTGCTAGTTGCATTGCTATATGTTTAGGTCTTCAGATTGATAGATAGCTATAGGACATATTTTAAGGCACCTATATGTTTAGGTCTTCAGATTGATGGATAGCTGCTAATTCATTTAATTGGGAGTACATTATTTGTATACTAAAACATTACCGTGAAGGCCTAACATTGCTCCATTTGCTAGTGCATGGCTATAGGAAATATTCTAAGGCACCTATATGTTTAGGTCTTCAGATGGACAGATAGCTGTTAATTCATTAAACTGGGAGTACATTGATTTGTATACTAACACATTACCATGCGTATGAACGCACATTTTTCCTTCTACAGCTTTTGGGGTGTTATCTGCGATGCTTCTGTAGATATGTTCTCAATTAGTAAGTTAAAGAGATACTGTATTTTTCAGGTGCCAACTATATACACTCGGCTGCTTCAAGGCTATGAAATAATGGACCCTGATATACAAGTAGCTTCTGCTTCGGCTGCAAAACAGTTGCGTTTGATGGTAACTAGAAGAAAATATCCCCACTTTACTTTAATGCAAATATGTGAATATGTATACATTTATTGCTTGTATATATTTTGGTATTTTATAATGCATTTATTATATTCCTGAGGATATGCACATTTTTAAGACTATAATGCTTTATGGAGTTTTATTTGGAATTGTTGTTATTGTTTCAACTGGTATTTGTTATGCCTTATCTTTTGTTTAATCAACGTGCCACTATAAGGCCACTTGAATTACAATCTTCCGCTTAAATGTCAGATTTGCATTATGAATTTTAGGATGTCTAGGAGAATCCATTATGCATCTCGCTGTCTCAGCATCACATATGCACCAGATGTAGGTAATGTCCTGGAATGAAGTATCCATGCAATTTATGTCGTGATGCATTTTTTCCCGATTTGTTGACTGAATTTCAAATTTCAAGCACTTAAATACTTCTATAAGGATTACATATTGCAGAAGACTTTCTTAATTTATGTTAATCTTGAATATTTAGACCCATTATTTTATACTATTATCATTGAATTCCTAATTGCTTCTCCCTAGATGTGTGGGTCATCTGCACTTCCATATCCTGTTCTGAAGCAATGGGAAGCTGTAACAGGTCACCGCCTTTTGGAACGCTATGGTATGACCGAGGTCAGTGTTATAGTTTGAGTGGTAAATTTTGACTTGAATTAAATGTTCTAATTCTTTCAAACTATAAAAATGCCTCTTTTACAGTTCACTCATGAAATGTTGCTTTGCAGTTTGTCATGGCATTATCCAATCCTTTGCATGGTAATCGGAAAGGCGGCACAGTTGGTAAACCTCTTCCTCGAGTAGAGGTATATTTTATTCTATATTGTATCTCATTACAAATATAAGTTAAAAATCATCAGGCTTTACCTGTAAATCTTCACACCCTTTTTTTTTTCAAAAAAACATGTCTTATGCATTTCATGCCTATCCATTTCACCATGGTGACTGGATTTCATGGCTCATTCTTTGTGCATTTTTTTCTTGTAAAGGTTCAAATAACTTAAAGCATAGTAACCCAATAGAGCAAGTCATTCATTAGCCCTTCGTAGGTGGATTAAGAGTTTAGCATTGCTTCATCTAACACGTTGTTGATATGATACTTTTTTCATAATGCCACCAATTTATCTGAGTTTCTTTTGTAGAATGCTATGTTATACTTGAAGATACTATAGTCATTTTAAATATGGATATGAGATTTACTAGAAGAGGCCAACAACTAAAAGTGCAATAGTTATTAGACAGACTAAAGTTACTACTAGAAACTCCTTAAGTTACAACAATGTATGAATTCAATAGAATTGTGAGAATTCCATTTAGAGGAGGTTAATAGAAGAACTTTTGATTAGGAAAGTACCTGAAATGCGCTTTATCATAATGAAAGTATTTATCAAATTTGAGTGATATTTTGTGGTATTAGGTCAAGATTATTGCAGAAGATGGTTGTGAAGTTAGTTCGAAAGGAGTGGGAGAGCTATGTGTTAGAAGTCCGTCCCTGTTTAAGGAATATTGGAGACGACCTGAGGTAATTCCTATCTTGCTAACATTATTCTCTTAATACCTACTGTGTAAGATTATCTAGCTTTTATTAGATATTTCCCTCATTTGCCGCTTTGATTTTTCCTTATTTGGTGGGTATTTTTTTTCTCACTACCCCAGGTAACCAAGGAATCGTTTCTTGATGGCGGGTTCTTTATGACTGGAGATACTGTTACAGTGGATGAAGATGGGTACTATGTAATCCTGGGACGTAAGTGATTTTTAACATCCCCTTTAATTTGTTTGAACCTTGTACTGATCTATTACCACTTTCTAGGTTCTAATGCTGATATAATGAAAGTCGGTGGTTTTAAGCTATCAGCACTGGAGATCGAGGCTGTGCTTCTTGAGGCAAGTATCCCCATTGGTTTATGATTGACATTATTCTGTTTGAAGGAAAGGACCAAGAATGGAACTAATTCACTAGATATCCTTGTAGCACTGCTAGAGTCATATGAGGCATGTGGTGTTTCTGTTGATTAAGAGAATTGTATTCTGATCTTTTTCATCTATTTTTCTTTTTCATATCATTAGGTAGTAAGTTATCTAAAAACTTGAAATCTGCAAAAGAAAAAAACGCAGCTATAAAGTCGATTGCCATCTAAATATCATCTGCATAAACAACAAAAGAACTAGTCATGGGCTATAACTCATGCTTTTGTTCTTTTTTTTTTCTGTTTCAGCCTATTGACATTTAATTAGGTGTACACTTCAAAATTTGCACGTTTCATTGGTTATAACTGACGATTTTGTGCATTTTTATTTGTTTCTACCGATGATAACTAATTATACGTTCTTCCGAATTCACGAGTTTTATGTACATTTTCATTTGTTTCTACCCCATGACAAGTAATTATACGTTCCTCCAAATTCATGATTTTTATGTGCTATGACCCATGACTTTTGTCAATATTTGTTCATTTCAATCCAATGTCGATTAATTATGCATAGTTCAAATTTGTGATCTTGGGCCATAACCAAAGATTTTCAAAATTCACGAATTTCATATGCGATAACCCATGATTCTTGTGCATTTTCGTTTGTTTCGAGTTTCGACCCAATGTCAATCAATTATGCATATTTTAAAATTCACAATTTTTATGTTTATATAATCCACTATTTTTGTTAACTTTCGTTTGTTTTGATCTATTGACAAACAAGTATGTGTATGTTAAACTCCATGGTTTTCATGGGTTGTAACCCATAACATTTGTCTACTTATGTTCATTTCAACCTCATGGCAAGGAACCCAACATATTGCAAAATTCACGATTTCATGAGCTATAACCCACGATATTTGCTCATTTTCGTTCATTTCAACCTAATGACAAATAATTATGCTTATAAAAAAATTCGTGATTTTCTTAGGCTATAACCTGCAAATTTAGTTTATTCTCATTAAATTAGACCAAATGACAATTAAGTTTTCTTTCATAAAAAATCGTGATTTTCATGGTCTATAGACTGCGGTTTTGTTGGTTTTCGATCTTTGACCAATGGAAATTAAGTATGCGTATTTCAAAATGTCGTGATTCATGAGCCACGGTCCATGATTTTTATCCAATTTTGTTCTCTTCTATGTAATAGCCATTAATTGTACGAATTTTAATATTACAATTTTTGTCCTTTGTTCATTGGACACAATGACAATCAATTATGACTTCTTCGAAATTTGCAATTTTAATTGGTTATAATTATAATCCATGATGATTTTGATTTCCATCGGTAAAGTGTACCGAGTGCATTCCCATAATATACTATAGTCTTATAATATTATATTTTTATTTTAGATAAATAAAAACATGTTGGCTAACCCTCATGAGAACTTTTCTGAATCCACTCAAGGGAACTTTTCTGAATCCGCCACTAGTTATGACCCGTGATTTGCGCATTATTGTTCCTTTAACCCAATGTCAATTAATTACAGTAACTACAAAATTCGCGAGCATGAGTTATAACCTAGGATTTTGGAAATTTTTGTTTGTTTCGTTCCAAGGTTAAAGTAATTATACGTGTTTCAAAATTTATAAATTTTGTGAGCTTTTACCTACAATATTGGCAATTTTCGTAAGCTTCTTTCCAAGGGCAAGTAATTTTACGTATTAAAAAGTTCGCGAATTTCATCGACCATAACTCATGGTTTTGGTCAATTTTTATTTATTTGTTTTGAGCTAGTGACAATTTATTATGTGTACTTCGAAATTTATGATTTTCATGGGTTATAACCAATGATCTTCGAAATTCTTAAATTTCATAGATTATAACCTATGATTTTTGTCCGTTTTTATTTGTTTTACGTAGTGGCATTAAATTAGGTGTATACTTCAAAATTTAAAATTTTAAGGGACTATAACCCATGATCTTCAAAATTCGCGAACTTTGTGGGCTATAACCCACATGATTTTTGTCAGTTTTTGTTTGTTTCGACGTAATGACATGTAATTAGGCATACACTTCAAAATTCACAATTTTCATTGGTTATAATCTAGAATCTTTGTTCATTTTCATTTATTTCTATGCAACGACAAGTAGTTATCCATTTTTCCAATTTCATGATTTTTATGTGCCTTAATCAATAATGTTTGTTAATCTTCATTCGTTTTGACCTAATGACAAATAAGTACGCGTACTTCAAAATTCATATTTTTTATTGGATCCATGATTTTTGTCCATTTGTGTTCATTTTGACCCCAATGGCAATGAACTAACCATATTTTAAAATTTGTGATTTCATGGGCTATAAGCCACAATACTTGCTCATTTTCGTTTGTTTCTATCCAATGGTAATTAATAATGTGTACCCAAAAAATAGTGATTTTCGTGGGTTGTAACCCACAATTTTATTTTATTTTTGTTAGTTTCGACCAGACGGCAGTTAAATATTCTTTTATTCTTTTGTCCATAATTTTTATCAATTTTCATTTATTTTGATATAATAGCAATAAATTGTTTGAACTTTAAAATTCATGGGGGGTTATAACCCATAATTTTTTCCCAGTTTGTCTTTTTCGACCTTATGACACTTAATTAGGCATGCACTTGAAAAGTTACGATTTTCATGGGTTACAACCTTGATTTTTATGTATTTTAATTTGTTTTGATCCAATGACAATTAATTATGTGTACTTTAAAATTCATGATTTTTATGTGCTATAACCCATGATTTTTTAGTTTCTGTCCATTTTGACCCAATGATAAATTTGTATGCACACTTTAAAATTTATTTTCATAGGCTATAACTCACGATATTTACTCATTTTCGGTCGATTCAACCAATAGCAAATAATAATGCCTATCTAAGAATTCGTGATTTTCTTGGTTTATAACCCACAATTTTAGTTTATTTTCGTTAAGTTAGACCCAATGCAATTAAATTTTCTTTCATAAAAAATATCGATTTTAATCGGCTATAGATTGCGGTTTTTGTTGATTTTTGGTCTTTGACCCAATGTAAATTAAGTATGCATACTTCAAAATTTTGTGATTCATAAGCTACATTTTATGATTTTTATCCATTTTTGTTCTCTTCGACCCAATAGCCATTTATTGTGTCAATTTCAATATCACGATTTTTGTCCATCATCGTTCATTCGACCAAATAAAATCAATTATGACTATGTCAAAATTTGCAATTTTAATTGGTTATAATCCATGATGTTAATTTTTATCAATGAAGTGTACTGAGTGCATTTTGATCCTTGAGCTGTAGTCAATGGTTTTTAACCATTTTTGTTCTCTTCGACCCAGTAGCCATTAATTGTGTCAACTTCAATATCATGATCTTTATCCATTATCGTTCATTCAACCCAGTGACAATCAATTATGACTACGTCGGAATTTGCAAATTTAATTGGTCACAATCCATGGCTTTAATTTTCACCAATAAAGTGTATTGAGTGCGTTCCCGTAATATACTATAATTTTATAATATTATATTTTATTTTAAGTAAATAGACACATGTTTGTCCGAGCCCCCAAGTGTTCTGAATCCAACATCGACTATGATTACATGCGACTTTTGTCTATTATTGGTCATTCAACCTATTATCAATTAATTATAACTGCTTCAAGATTTGATATTTGCGATCATGAGTTGTAACCCACGGTTTGAAAATTTTTGTTTGTTTCGTTCTAAGGTCAAGCAATTATACGTACTTTAAAATTCATAATTTTTGTGAGCTATTACCCCATGAATTTGGCAATTTTTGTAGGCTTCTTTCTGAGGGCAAGTAATTTTATGTACTACAAAATTCACAAATTTCATGGGTTATAACTCATGAATTTCATCAATTTTTATCTGTTTCGACCCAATGACCATTGATTATGCGCACTTCAAAATTCATGATTTTCATGGGCTATAACTAATGATCTTTAAAATTCGCTAATTTCATATACTACTAGCGTGCATCCCATGCAAAGCATGACCCCCTATTTTTTAAGCACTTTATTTTTTAAATTAGGAATCATATCTAATCCTCTATACTTAAAAGAAGGATCCAAGTTTTAATACATTTGATTTAGAAATCATATCCACTCATCTATACTTAAAGAAGGATCTAAGTTTTAATAGATTTGATTTGTTTTACTACAGTAAATATTATAGCATGAACAGTAACTTCAAGTATGAGGAGCAGATTTGATTTACTATTTATGCTATAATATTTAATGTGGCATTACTGTAACATAAACTGTAATTCTTTGGATTCTCCTTCAAGTGTAGAGAATTAGGTAACCTATGATTTTTGTATGTTTTTGGTTGTTTCTACATAAGGACATTTAACCCATGACTTTATCCCACAATCTTCATGGGCTATAACCCACAATCTTCAAAATTTGTTATTTTTGTGGACTATAACCCATGACTTTATCCCAAATTTATATTGTCCGAACTTTAAATTTTTATTGGCTATAACTCATGATTTTTTCCCATTTTGTTTCTTTCAACCTTATGACATTTAATTAGATGTACACTTGAAAATTCATAGTTTTCATGGTTATAACCGTTGATATTTGTGCATTTTAATTTGTTTTGAAATAATTGTGTACTTCAAAATTCACAATTTTTATGTGCTATAACTCACAATTTTTGTTAATTTTCATCTGTTTCGACCTAATAACAAGTTAGTATGCACGCTTTAAAATTCATAATTTTCATGGGCTATAACCCATGATATGTACTTATTTTCATTCGATTCGCCCCAATGGCAAATAATTATGCCCATCAAAGAATTCATGATTTTCTTGGGTTATAACTCACATTTTTTATTTATTTTCGTTGAATTAGACCTAATGACAATTAAATTTTCTTTCATAAAAAATCACGATTTTCATGCGCTATAGATTGTAGTTTT